TGCTGGTTTGCTCCGCACAAGAAAGCGCTCCATTTTCCCGCTTGCTTGTTTCTCAGTTTTAATATTGTCCTTCAGCCTTTGATGTGTCACAGTCTTATAAATCCCACCTGCGCAACTGCGTTAACAGCGGAATACGGGGTTCTGTGAGGATTATTTTTTAAATAATCGTTTTTAGGTATAGAGTTTGCCTCTGTATTATGAAATGTGTGCATACAAAGTACTGATATAGTAAATAAAAAAATAATTATTTTTGTGTAGTTGTATATTGCAATAATAACGTATGTTTGTCACAAAATCCCACGGCACACCTGGACTTGCCTCACGGCACACCAGTGTGCCGCGGCACACCGTTTGGGAACCACTGATCTAGATGCCAATAAACGCCTTTTCCTTTTAAAGCTGATTGGTTCTGACTCTTTTAATTCAAGTTTTATTTCAAACAGCTAGCTCTTTCAAACAGATAGTAAAATATGATTCACGATACTGGAAGTATTGATCTTTTTTTATTCATAATTGTCAACATCAGGGAAAAACATATTAAATGATTATGGTGTGATTTCAACTTTTCTTTAAGAGATTCCAAAAAAAATGCGTTTTGTTAAGACTGTAGAAAATGATTCGATTTGGGGATTATGGCATCCTCAAGAGTCATGAAGGAAATGCAACAATATTCCCCCAAAGCTTCTTCGTCCACATATTAGTTCCCTATAGTATCAGTACAGTGTCGTTGTATCCTCTCCCTGTTTCTCTTTTGATTGTGTTGTCTCTTCTCATAGTTACCTGTTGAACCCGTTCACCATCCTGTCCTGCGTGGCCAAGTCGACCTGCGGCCTGAACAACGCCGTCCTCTCCCTCTTCATCCTCTCCACAGTCAAAGGTAAAGAATGAGTGGGATCAGACAGGACAGAAACATTTCAAAAGTCTCTAAGAAATAGCTTGAAGAGTTTAGTACAATCATTAGTCCCTAAAGAAAATCATTTAATAAATGAATTAATTTTTTTCAAAATTTCAGAAGAAGAAGATTAACAAAATATCAACATACATAGAATACAAAATAATAGTATAATCTTTGATCAAGAACGAACATTTCTACCTGAGTAGGCAGCAACCTTTTTACTTAAAAAAAGAAAAGAAAATCTTATTAAAAAGAAATAATAATTTTAAAAAGGTTATTTCAATACTGGAGCTATCACTGTGTTTTATTTTAGTAATTTCTTTATTTATAAACAGATCATTTGAACTGCTTTAAATGGCTGTAACAATTATTGTATTTGTATTTACTTGCTCTATTTTATCAGTTTTATTTCTGCTATGTCCTATATATATGTTGCACTGTTGGAGGAGCCTAAGTTTTTCATTGCCTATCTACACTGTAGCTAATGTGCATATTGTAGCTAATGTGCAAATATCAATAAAGCCTTGAAATGTAAATGAAAAAATGAGACAGGATGCTGAGTGTCTTTCTGTTTGTTTTACAGGAAATGTGTTGCTGAGTGCTATATTTCTGTCCTTGGCCACGTACCAGTCCATCTATCCTCTCACTCTGTGCGCCTCAGCGCTGCTCTATCTGATGCAGGTCTGTTGACTGCATGTCTAGTTTTAATCCTCCATCTATCTGTTTGATCTTGGACTTAGTTTAGGCTCTTTTGCTTCATAGAATAACATTCCTCCTGTGCATGTCTAATAATGAATTATATTGTTTTATTCTTTGTATATCCTTTTGAATAATGTATTTTAGTTAATGTTATTTTTTGAATGCTTTTATTTCATCCTCATTGTATTAATTTTATTTTGCTGTTGGGAAGAACTTTGAAATCATGTTTTAGAATAGTGCTATACCAGGGGTCGGCAACCTTTTTGTTATGAAGTGCCATTTAAAAAAAAAAAATTGTTATCAGCGTGCCGACAATCGAGAATTATCAACGGCGGGGGGGGGG